CCTTTGATAATTCTGCCGTATTTGATTATGCTCACTGCAAAATTCTGAGTGTGTTTTTTTCACATTAAATACTCACCCAGCAAGGGTCCCCCTCACTCTCTCAATACAAGGCAGAAATAGTCTTTAGCCATTTCACGTTTGTAAATATCTGCATTACTGGAAGCTCCATGCCCCCCTGTATTGTTTAAAGGCAAAATTAATCGTCCCTAACACCTTTTAATCACTATGTTAAATGTGTTCTCATCTGAAAAACACGACAGATCTTACGAGAAGTCTTTCTTGATTCCCCGCCCTGAGGCCCTCCACGGAGGTGACTAAATTCTCACGCCCAGGACCTGCAGTAGCCTTTTAAGGGAAGACAAAGGAAGAGGCAAGAGCCACCCTCTGGAACTGAGTTTTCTCTCCCCAGGACCTCCCCCCGCCCATTTCCTCCATTCCATGAGCAAGAAAGCAAGAATACTTAGAATTTGACCACAAAAAGAACCAAGAACTTGTATTCTGCCCCAGCGTGGGCCTGCGTTCGCTTCATGCATAAGATGGAGGCGCCACATCACTCCTGTTTGTTTTGCATTGAGAACCTGCCTGGCAGTGTAGCCAGGAGCCCTTCTCTCCTGAGGAGCAGGCCCCACACACCCCCGTTCCTCTGTTCCAGCCCCACCCGGAACAGTGATGGCAAACATTTTCCAAAGTGAGCTTCTCTTACACCTAGAGGGAAAGGAATCTGTCCCCAGTAGCCCACCCAGGGGAAATTTTGTTCTATTATTACATGATCTATAGGGAGAAGCTCATTTGAATGGGCATCAATACTCCTAGGTGGAAACTGGTCTTGCTGTGTTGTTTTAACTGTTTTTGAAAGCGATTATAATAGAATACACACATTTTTCAAACCAATTCTAAAAATCTCTCCGATTTTGTGTTTAAAAAAAGCTTTCTAAGATTAAATTCTCTGTAGCCTGTATAGGACTAATTTGACATTCGTCAACATGTTAATAATAGGTATCTTTGGGTGATTAAATTATTTATGATCATAATTATCCTTTCTTTTTTTATATATTTTTATTTCATGTGTAATACTTTTATAATTAGAAAATGGGATGTTATATATTTTTAAAACCTGTTTTCACAAGTGGCTTCAACTGTACTTGTTTTATTATATTTTTTAAATATAGCAAAGATGTCAGAATCCTAAGATATAATAAAGAAGCTAGTCTATAATCTTCTATCTGTTCATATTTTACAATGAATTTTAACTTAGTTTTCTCAGTCTTGGAGAACACAGATCATTGCACATGAAAACATTAAGTTCCTCTCCCTTGAATACTTATCTAAAGGTAAGGTGTACAGCAATCCAAATAAAAATTCTAAAATTCAGAAATTTTTCCTCTGAGGAAAATGTACCAAATAAATTAGAACCTGAGTCAGCATAAGTCTTTTCTTTAATAAAAATGATGCAAATGATAACAATGAACTTGCTTTAAACACACACACACACACACACACACACACACACACACACACAGGGAGAAAAGCCTGTTTACTGATCTGCCAGTTTTACAACCAGGAAAGCTGGGGCATCCCTGGTGTTTTTTTCTTGGCAGGAAAATGTTAGCATTTTAACACTTGGCAATCTGGAGGCTTTGACTGAAAAATCTTACGGCACAGCCATTATATTTTCATTTCACATTATCTGTGTTTCCTGTATCATTGAGGGGAGGGTGTTGGTGAATTATTGGATATTTATGCCCTGAAGTGAAAATATTTCATATATGTATTTGGAATATCTTTCCGGGGACGTTTATTTTATTTTAGAAAATATTTTATAGGAAAAATGAAATGAAGACACTATGTATTATGGATATAAAAGCCAAAAATATAACAAGTACATTACCAATAATATTTAAGGGAATATTTCCTTAGATTTTTCTGCCTAATATCATTTTTCCTTTTATTCATAAAATTTATAAAATTGAGTTCTCTACACAGTCCATGCTTTTCATTTTAAACAGGTTCCTTTTAAAAAAGAATATTTGTGTCTTGCCAGATCTAAGTGCTAACCATCCGCAATGTCAGAGTTAAAACAATACTCATAGGGCACTATTCTAAATCTATTGCACTCTCCTCTTGACATTTTGAAAGACTGTCCCCAAAATGTTCACTCTAGAATCATTAAGCCTGAAATAAATTCCCAAGAATTCCTTCCTAGGCCTTGGGAAGGACTAGGAAATCTTGGGTAATAAGACACCTCTGGGAATGGGCCTGTGCGGGTGACAAACGCCACTGGAAATGGCCTGGGAGGTTTCACCGAGAGGTGGAGCGGGCCTGGTTTACAGCAGACCGGAGACCCGATCAGGAGGCGCCAGGTCTGACGGAGGACGGAGGTCCGTCTGTGGGGCGCCGGTGCAGCCCACCTGGAGGGGCGAAGGCCTGCGCGCTGCACCAGCTGGCAATCCGGGCGCGAAGAGCGCCCAGTTTATCTGTCATAGTCCACGCCGTGAAGGGAACGACGCCGCCTCACCCTCGACGGCTGTGGGTTTTGACGCTCCCACCCCAAATGTCCGGGTGCCTCTGCGGGCGGCGCTCGGGGCGCTCCTGAGGGCGGACCCTGGGACCCCCGCGGCGGCTGCCGGAGCAGCTGAGCCCCCGCGCGCCCC